AAAAAAAAGGGGGGAGGGGGGGGGGGGGGGGGGGGGGGGGGGGGGGGTGGCAAAGGTTGTACTGTATTTGAACGTGGTTGGAAGCGTTTCATCAGCAGGATAAATTAACTAGTTCATCTTCACGTGTTGGCTGTTGTTATAAGGTTTGCTCGTCACGAATTATGTATTGCGTTCATATGTCCGGGTAAACATTGCAAAACTTACCTTGCACAGTGTTATAGTGGCGACAACTACGAGTTGGAGCTTTCAAACCTTAATTCACCGACTAATGTTTCATACATATTTATACATCATTTCTCCATACCGATCATGGATTTATTTGTTTTCTTTACATTTTTTTGTTTGTTTGTTTTTGGTGGTAACCAGAATTTTCCATTCTGATTTGTAATTCCACCATTCAATATTTCCATATAAGACAATTTCTAAGAGCCTTTGTTTCAATTAAGAATTTAAGATATTATTAGCATTACATCATAGCCTCATAGGCCTACTTGGATTGTACCCCAGACTCAGTTTGCAGGTGATATACGCATGTCAGAAACTTACAATTTGATAGTAAAATTAACCAATCAAGTAAAATTGCATGTGGATCTGACATCTTTTCCAAACAGAGAAACAATTTCCACACTTATTATATTGACTCTTAAGGAAATCAAACTTGCACTCAATAACTCCCGAGGCTTTTACATATTTGATTCTTCTTTATTTATTACTTGCAATTAGGGAAGTGAGCCATTAACTTTACAACAACAACACCAATAATAATAATAATAATGATAATAACAACAACAACAATTATCATTATTATTACTTTTACTTAATATCAATGCATTAAGCTGATATATAAAATATGTATTAGTGATATATAAAATATGTAGTAGTGACTATTGCTATCATGAGCTATGTTACCGTGCATCTATACCCGCTAGTGATGCGAAGACCGTTGGTGTGAACTCAAACGGGGTGGGGAACTTCACCTCGTGAGCCCAGTTGCACGGAGTCCTATTGTGACGGCAGTAGGCACTTGCAACCTGGCCTAGCTGGCCTGGGCATTGAACGTAAAAAAAAAGAAGAATAAATGACATTGCGGTGGACTCCGCATAATTCCTACACATGGGGATCGTGATATAAGTTCTAGTCGAGCTAGACAAAAAATTTGAAATAATACCAAAAGTTATAAGGTGAGTACTGTATTTACCAGCGCGAAGAAAAGAGCGTGGTTTATCTAAACATATTTACTTTACTGTACTCTAAAAATTAAAGGCAAAAACAACAACAAAAAAAAATCTACAAAAGAAGCAATAAAGATAGAAAATGGGATGCATGAGCGAGCGAGCGAGCGAGCGAGAGAGAGAGAGAGAGATAGAGAGAGAGAGAGAGAGAGATGGGTTTTGGAAAAATAGACTTACACTTAGTTGTAACATACGGCGCACACCCCAGCAGAAGAAACAGTGCTACTACGGACGAGACACTCTTCATCTTGAACTTCCAACGAATGACACAGTGCGAAACGTCAAATTTTATTTATGCACCGCATAATATGGCCACATGCAAATTAAACACTGCCGTCGCTTAATATAAGGCGTTAACAAGTCTATGGGATAAAAGGAAAGGAAGTCTACCAGCAGCACCAAGTTTTCCATCCAAATTCAGATTCACTGAACACATAATTTAGACACAGTGTGCCTGCATATGTACCATCACCTGCGTCTGTTGTCGTCGCCGACGTATTAACTGCACAGTTTTCACTGTTAAATGAAACTTTGTCCCATGAGGACAGTTCTATAGCAAGAGGTTGCATGTCCCTCTTGCAGACGAGGTCGTTTTCCCTCCACAAGCTCACTATATAACAGATATTTGGGTATTTTTGAGGTAAAAAGATTATTTGGCTTGATTAATCATCATGTTAGAATTATTTAAAAATCATGAAAAAATAAACTATTTTCAAGGGGAATCAACTAGAGACTACGGTGGAAATTAGGGAAAAATAATTTCTTCATTTTAGATCTTAACCAATTTTTTTTTCGGGGTGGGGGTGGGGTGGGTGGTAAAAACTTTTTTCTTGTCAATGGTTGTACATTTTAAGTGTTTAAAGCTTCATAATTTTCATGATAAAATTTCTCATAGTTTTTTAAAGAAAATATAAGCATGCAATTATCAATGATTGGGGGTAATTAACTATCGTTTAGCAGCTTTAGTAGGCGTCCAAGACATCACTTAAGCTGAAAGCAATTTCAGGAGCGGATCCAGAGATATTTTCTGACATCTATTTCATGCGTGTAAAACTTTTAAAGGTTTTAATGAAATAAAATCAAAATAGACAGACCTTCATTTGGAACTGGGCCATTTCTTGCCTAAAATAAGATCACGCAATTCCTTTACCCATACTATTACACTTTACGCACAGCAAAGCATTACGCGCGTGGGTTTAGAAAAGTTGACTAGTGAATGCGTGCAATAGCAAGATAAAAGACGTTTGTGTCTGATAAGACGCACTTGACCGCAGAACCAGGCTTTAGGGATGTTTATTTGTTTTTGATCACGTGCATTTTTAGTGGCGAGTTTTTTGTATAAAGGTTTATAGATTCGTTCTAAGATTCAATGTACGTGACAGCCGGACTTGGGGGTGGATCGCTGGCAGTGGACACAGATATATCGTACAAATCTACCAGGCGACCTGCTCGCCAGAGTACTAAGCGGTAAGATTTTAAGCTGATTTTCCATATTATTTTGTAAAAGTTTTCAAGCGTTGTTCTGGTTTTGGCACCGATTTAAAATAGTCTTAATTTTTTATTTAGTAAGATGAGCATTAAACATATGTTATAAAGACAAAAGTCGATTATTTTTTTTGTAAATAAAGTGGGTATTGTTATCTATACACATACTTAACTGCCATAGTACAAAGGTTATTTCTTCTCTTTTAGCGGTTAGTTTTTAGGGGTGCAAACTGCATTTTGAAATACAAAAAAAAAAAAAAAAAAAAAAAAAAAAAAAAAAAAAAAAAAAAAAATAATAATAATAATAATAATAAAATAAAGAAATATTCGTGATCGGAACAAAGAAAACGTGTGTTATAAAGGTTTGTTTATGTCAAAACGCAAAATTAACATAAAACGAACGGAACAAAAATTCTCTTTCTAACGTAAATTCGTTCGTTAATTCTCTTTGTGACGTAAATGGACAATTCTATCAATTGTTTTCATTACCTATAATGCAGGTACATCTCCACAGCTTTTTACCAAATAAGCTCTTGCTTTGATCAACTACTGAATAATATGATAAATTTTGCGTTTCGAAAGACATGAAAAAAAGCACTGAATAAGCTTTATGCGCCTGATGCATGTGTTGGCTTGATTTGTAAATAAATAAACGTCAATGCGTAGCGAGTTTTTAATTTAAAAAAGTGATTGAAGTATTTGTTAATTTTTTCAGATAAATATGGTGCCTGCAGAACCAGGACTTCTTGCTGCTGCGCTGTGTGTTCTGATAGCAGTTCAAACCGCAGCCGGATCTGGTATTTAATCTGTAGTATAACTTAGAAGTAAACGATTAGGTTTTTAAAGCATTGTTAAAACAATGAAACGCTTTATTTTGCAATGAAACATCCGGATCTTCCCTGAGCAAAATAAGGCCAAATTTACCTCTCTCTCTCTCTCTTTTTTTCTCTCTCTCTCTCTCTCTCTCTCTCTCTACACACACACACACACACACACACACACACACACACACACTGAAATAAAGGATGAGTTAATCTTTGTTGACGGCCTATCAGCCATGTGCAATTTGAGAGCACCACCGTAAATGTATTTCTATGCGTAGTATGTGAAGACGAAGTTGAGGCAGTCCTAAGCATGGCCATATTGTATGTTTCAGGCGTGCCAGACAACAAAGGGACCGAATTCGTCCTCGTTTTCATTCAGCAGCACAAAGCTCTGCTGACGAATGGGAGGAACTCGCTGTACGTTACCAGCGATGAAGCAACTAATGTGACGATCGAAATACCTAGCATTGGTAAAGTGTCTTTTAGTTTTGTTCCTTTAATGTAAAAAAATGTATATGTACCAGTACACGTTAAGAGGACTATAGGCTTATCATTG